ATATCTGGTTCTGCTGGAGTCCCCCAAACAGATGGCCAAAGCCAAGTTTTAGGATTGTTCAATCCATCAGTACTGAAGGAAGGAGACTAGATAGAGGGCAGAAAATCAGAAGTGGCCAGAGTCTTTCTTACATATGTTCTTCACAATATCTCAACAGTTTTTGATACAGTTTAATGAAGAGTTGTGGGAAAAAAATGAAAGGAAGAACAAAGGAGACAAGAGTTAATCCAAATAATTTCCCCACAAAATTTGCTTTGCATGCTTTAGGGCCTAAAGAAATCTTTCTGCTTTTTTAGAACTTTTTGTGCTATAGTATCCAGCCTGGTGAATGTAATGATTAAAAGCACAGAATCCAAAACCAGACATTCAATTTAGAGTCCTGGGTCTGCCTCTTAACTCTATAACTCTTCCTAAGTGTAAAATAGAAATAATGATAAAAACATATCCCTTTGAAAGTTTATGTAAAATAATAGTGCCTAGCGCAGTCTCTTGTACACAGTGGCTACTCAGTCTAGGTCTTTATTGCATTATTCTTGTCATCATTGCTATTCTGAGTCGACTACTCCCTTAATGGAATATTTTTCTATCTGAAATTGGAAAGGGTTAATAGCAGGGTTCAGGCATAGACACTAGAGGTGGATATTTCAGCATCCTCTGATGACACCAGCTGTGCTGGGTCAGCCATTTAATTCAGTTCTGAGGAACTTCTCTGCAGGAGACTCAGTGGTGAGTTCTGGGGAGTGTGTAAGAATAGAGAGGATCACGTTGTTACCCATGCCTGACAAGCACCTTCCCTGCACAGGAAGATTCCACAAACATAGATGTCTAGTTAAAATTGCTACCATAGAAAGTGCCCTTCAAATTAAATATAGCTCAAAATATTATTTGAACCTTGTTCTTTTCAAAACATATATGATAGTTTTAATAAAAATAATTTTGGTTTAATTTTTTAAAAAATATTATCTGAAAGCTAGGTTTAAAATATGCCAAAGTGGAGCACTATTGTCCTGTATACACCTTGAATAAAAGACTGCTTCAAATGTGTAAGCTACATGTCTGACCCAAGGATGAGACATGTGTATTGTTTGTTCCTCTGCATCCAAAATATTTGTGAGCCACCATATAGACATGATTGAGACAAGACTATGTGATAACATACATCTGCTTTAATCTTTTTCTTCCTTCCTTCCTTTCTTTCTTCTTTCTTTTTTTTTTTTTTTTTTTTTGTTAATAAAAAAGTGTTACAAGGTTAGGGATGTAATCCAAAGATAGAATACTTACCTAGCATATGTGAGGTCCTGGACTTGATGCACACCACCACAAAACAAATTAAAAAGTATTAAAGTAAAAAGATTTGTGGTAGTCTGGGACTACATTGACTTCCCCAACCAAGCTTCAGAATATATTCTTACATTTGCAAAAGAGAATCCATATCTTCAATGTGTCTCACCTAACCCTTTGCTTTTGATAGGCAAAACAAAATAACAAAATAGTAGCAGCTCAATTAAAATATATAAACCTATGAACAAATAAATGTACTAAATTGGGAAGTAGAATGAATTTAGCAAGATTTAGAGAGATTTGAGAGATGGGTGTGGTCCGAGACTGCTTTCTTTGGACAGTCAGGCAGAGGTATGCCCAGTTCTGCAGAGTCCTTTTCCAGAGAATTTTCTTTCTTTTTTTCTGAAAGCCAAATGTCCTGTGGTCTGCTTTCAATCTTGAAGATATAGTAGAGAATAAGTGGGAGTATCGAGGCTTTTATTTCCAAGTACAATATGAGCACCTTGAATAAAAGCCATGTAATTATCTTTCTGCACCAATAGGATAGAAACAGAGCGACTATTACCCCCACCTTTAATTTCTTCTCCTTGTTAACAGTGACTGTACCCCTGAGTGGGAAATTCAAAATTTTTTAATTTTTATAACTTTCTTGGATTTGACTATGAAAAAAAAAGAAAGTCTGTTTTGAGAGCTAGTTCTAAAGGAATTAAATACCCAAAAAAGTATTTTGAGTGGTATTTCTAAATTAATACTCAAATGCTGAGAACAGAACCCTTAAAGAGAAATCTCTCTGCACCTATGGGATGAGCATCTTTTTGCCAGTTCACAAACACAGTCCCCTCCCCAGCACCCAGCTAGCCTCCCTGGATTGCCTATGTCATGAATTCAGGTCCCTGACTAGGAAAGAGGAGACAGGATGTACATATTTCATATATTCTTGAAATTCTAGCATCTTCTTCTTTAATATTCTATAGCTACTTCAAAAGATAACAATGCCAACTCTACCTAATTGTTACATTTAATAAAAAAATAATGCATTCTTTGTGCCAAACAGGTCTTTTTTTGTCTTATTTTTCTTTTTTTTTTTTTCTTGCAGTTTTAGGGATAGAACCCAGGGCCTTGCACATGCTAGACAAGTACTGTACCACTGAGCTACACTCCCAGCCTACCTAAAGTGCTAAGTATTCTCATTAGTTTTATTTTTAAAGAAAAAAACATGGATATAGAGCCTTCAAGCCATGATGACCATGCAAGAGGAATTTCTCCCTAGATCATTGTCTCCAGCACTACTGGGCTTCCTTCAGCTCCCCCACTATGAGTTCCTTGTGCTTTGGGAATGACTTTTCTTCTCCTGATTCCCCTGGCCCACATATAAGCATCCTTTATTTGTTAGTTTCAATAGCATCTCTCCTTCTCAAATAGGATGAGTCCTCCCACTCTGGGCTCCCATGATCCTCTAGGATGACTCCTAGTGCAATTGCTTTTCATCTGCCTCACCCTGCTCTGTGAGTTTAAGGCCAGGTTTGCCTTTGTCACTGCATCTGGTACCTAGCACGAAACATACATATAGTATGTGCTCAGTGATCTTTGATGAAAGTAGAAGAGAAGGTAGAGAGGAAAGGAGAGAAGAAGGCAGAAAGTGAAATGAAAAGGAAGGGCAGAAAGAAGGAAGTAAGGACAGAAAAAGAGATCACTGCAGAGTCATGGCCTCTTTGTCACACCCCTGCTCATGGCCACACTCTTCCTTTTCTTTCTTCCTTCACCATTTTTCTTCTCTTTATAGAAATTCCAAAATTAAAATAATATTAAAACCATCCTTGCCTCAGTATATACTTTCAATTTGATCTGCTTTTTCTTTTCTTTCCTTTTTTTTTTTTAATTAAATTTTGGTTTGCTTGTTTGTTGTTTGGTATGTGTGTGTATGTGTATGTTGTGTGTGTGTGTGTGTGTGTGATTCTCCACCGTCACTCTACAAATTCAAATATATTTCAAAGCCCAATTTACTCAACAAGCATGAAATACTAGGTCTCTCTCACACATATCTCAATAAACAAATGTGTTTTATTAAAATTCAATTTTTATTTGTTTTGAATCTTATAAGAGGTGTTTGTAAGCCATCAAACAAGTTCATCTTGATACTGACATTGTAAAACCAATGAAAAAGGAAGACAGTAAAAATGAGAATATTGGGGAGTAAAGCAAGAAGAGACATATTTGGGGAAAATCTAAAGAAAATGTGGTCTTTGGATAGCTACATATTCTATTTTTATTTTTGTTTGATTAATAACTAATGGTTGATTTAATAAAATTAATGTCTAATCTGCTTAATTTTTAAAGAGAGCTTTATTCCCCTCCCCCACGGAATGTAGAAATCAGAACAAAGACATGCCCAAGCTCCTTTAGGGCTTATTGTCATTGAATAAAACTCTCCTAAGCAGGGGTTGGAAATGTAGTTCAGTGATAGCCTGACCATCAGGCATGTACTAAGTCCTGGGATTGATCCCCAGCAAAAACACACATACACACACACACACACACAAACACACACACACCCCACACACACAAATAAAATTCTAAGGTGTATAATACTGTTGCACTGAATAAGAACTAGATTAAAAATCCTTCAAAGGAAATTTTCATAGTATTCAATGAATTTCCCTTTTTTTGCACAGAGAAATCAAAAGAATAAAAAAAAATAAGAGAAAGCTGAGTACAATATAGTGTTATGGGGAGAATATATGGTCATTTAGATTACTGTTTTCATCTTTCACTTTCTCACCTTAAGAAAATTTAGTGCAGGGATGACTGAGTTCCAGAGTAGGGAAAGAAGTGAGTCCCATCTAGATTTGTTCATGATGGGATATTTCAAAAGTTAAAATTACTAACTCAAGTCTGGAAAATAAGAGAGATTTACTTAGGCATTAAAGATAGGTACTAGGCAGTAAAACTGATAGATCCTTATTCCATTGTCCTATAAGAGGCTGGACCACTCAGAGAAGTTAATTCTAAAGAAATTTAGAGCAAGTTATAGGAAATACTTCTTCACCTGCTAGAATTCATGCTGAGGAATTTGCTGCCACAAGCAGTCATAAAATCAATCACTGAGTTGGATTTTTCCAAGGGGCAGGATAATGTATGACCCACTCTTCTGACTAGTTGGGGAGGAGAGAGGCAATCAATTCGCCTGCTTCTAGGAGATCACAATTGATTACAAGTGGGGTCAGCAAAAGGATGTCCCCCACACTTGATCGGGATAATTAAAAAGTGTTTGCCCATGCTCATAGGTCCAGCAAGGACAGTGAAAATAGGCTATCAAGATAAAATGACTTGATCCAATATAAAAAAAAAATTCTTTGATAGGAAAAAACAATTAAAAACACAAAATGTCAATTCCAGGAACAAATATATGGTACACCTTAAATACTTTTATAGGAATAAAATTTCCCTTTCAATATGAATACAACATAATGTTTTGCATTTTTAATCTAATTCTCTAATCAGTATTCTTGGAGTATGTCTGACAAATTTGAAAACAGATAACATGCATGGCAACTTTTTTTCTAAAGAAGAGTAGAGTATAGTTGAAAAATTGTGAGTGCATTGCAAACATTAATAAAGCAGTGTTAAGTTTGAGGTTGTCATGTTGAATGTCAGTAACGAAGTCCTTTGATACAGTTGTCACAGTTTAAATTATTTTTTAAGCTATCGTCTTCCCCCACCTCTTTAACTTTTCTTTCTTTCTTGAAAATGTGATGTAGTTTCCAAGACTTCACTTTATGCTACTTCAGATACATCAAAAGCAATATTGCATCTTTGGCACTCTAATTTATGAGCTTCTGAAAGAGAGACCAAAAAAAAAAAAAAAAAAAAACAGCATGTCAGACATGGTTAGAGCCTGCGTTTTTATTTGGGGACAAAAGAGTGTCACATGATTTATTAAAAAGAAAATACTTTAAAAAATTATAAGACAATATAAAATCCCAAGTAAGTCATGATAAAACCTTATCTTCAAATTAAAAAAAAAAAAACTATACCTTCCTAAAAATGTAAAGAAAATGCATTGTCATCACCTCTGGAGAAACAAGAAATATTACTAACTTTAAGAGACAATAACCTAATTTCATTATCCATGCTAAGAGAAAGTAAAAATATAAGATGTCTAAAAGCTCCTTCATGGCAAATCACCATAATTTACAATAGTCATTGTAACTTTGGAGCTTAACAACAACTTTATTTTTATAAGTATGTTTTATTTAAACATTGCCCTGACCTTCCCCCCAAAAAATAAGTACATAAGTTGATGCCTTAAATCTGACGTCAGGGGGTCTTCTAGAGTTGACAGGGTACTGTGTCGAAAGCTCTGTAAGACTTTGCACAATCAGCTCATACCTGCTACAAACTGCCGTGGACATGCAACCTCTGGAGCCAGTCCTAGCTCTGTCTCTCATCAGCCAGGTTTCCCTGGGGAACTCATATCAATTCTTGTAAAGCAAGTTCCCAGTGTATCACAAATATCAGTAAGACAGTGTTAATTTTGAGGTTATCTCGCTGAATGTCAGTAATAAAGTCCTTTGATAAAGTCATCACAATTTAAATTTAGACTTTTAAAATCTATTATTTTATTGCCTAGATATGATGGCTTTAAGTTTAAATCAACATAAAGTTACTTTAAAAACAATGACAACACTGTGCCGTGATATCGTTAGTGCTCAGTCACTGCTTCCCTCCCCGCTTCAGTCTCCAGAAAGCCAGGATGTTTCTGAGCGCACCTCTCCCTGGGAAGAGAGAGGGACAGTGGAAGTCAATTCTGCTTTCACAGATTTGAGGGTAGGATTGGGGGAAGTTTTCATTATTACACATGCTCCTTATTCTGGCCCCTACCCTTTGTTGTATCCCTCTCTGATGGGATTTCTCCCTGACCTCTGCACTCCGCAAAGTCAGTTAAGCATGCTCCCTGCTGCAGATCTTCCATTTCTTCTTCCTTAGACTCAAATGATTGTCTCTTCCCTTCTCCCACCAAACCCTAACTTGTCTAAACTCACACTGACAGGTTGGTCCTTGGCTTACATGTCGCCATCTCTGAGAAGAACTATCAAAGTCTGAGTTCCGTGCTCCTTGTATGTAGCCCCACTGTACTTTCACCACCATTTTTCATTGTTTATTTACCTGTAGCCACCATTAGACTTCAAGCTCTGCATGGCAAGAATTTGGTCTTGTTCTTTCAAAGAACTCCATTTCTGATAGACTCACTTTTCAATGGTTCTGAATAGATTTAAAAAAATAAAATAAAATCTCTAGAAAAGGCTGTTCTTGCTCAAGGCCTTTGGTTTTACTCTACAAAACCACCCTCTAATCAGAGTTTACCCAAATGAAACTGATATTTCCCCATTATATTCAAAGCCAGTGTTCCAGAAGAACTTGTGTTGGAGTTGTGGGGAAGTGGGTGATCTTTCATGAAACTAATACTGGGAAATCTAGAATGCAGTATAAATTGGGGAAAGTTGGGGGG